ATAACTACAGTGAAACAATGACATTTTGAGAATCCCGCGAAGGTATTTTAATTCCTCGTGCAGGATAGCCTGATCCTGCACGGCTATTCACCAATCAAATTGCCGTTTCACTGTAGTTATTATATTAAATAATATAACCACTGTTCACCCAGGTGTACCTCTTTTTAACTTGCAAAAATCTTGGGTGTGCCTTTGCCATCAGCTCTGCAGTCAGAGATACATGGTTGAGGGTGAAGTACTGTACTGCTGTAGTAATAAACCAACTTCATCAAAATTAAAGAAACAATGGACTCGGTGGTATGAGTTTAGGATAAAGTAACCTGAAATTCAGGCCCTAATTTTAAATAGGGCCTGACACAAAACCTGTCTAGACCATGGGATGCCAACATGTTATTTTTAGACACACATGCAATATATGATTGACAAGTTTTGTAGATTTCATAATTTTCATTGCACAAAAAAATTATATTCTCATGAACATGTCCGAAGAGTGTGCATTTTGCTTTTTAATTAAACTTAAAAATTCAAGGTACTTTAAGCTTTATGGCAGAAAATAAATCAAACAAACAGTATTTTGAAAGGGCTATATCAAATTGAGAATTTCGTTGTTGCTGTTGTTAGCCCGTTAGAGTATATCCGCGTCCAGCAAGTTAGGGACCTTGGGAAAGCTTGGCATTCAAGCCGTTCAAACTGACTAATTAAATCTTAATTTGTTTGCTGTTGGGTTAAATAGAGAAACTGAACTCTTAATTATATTAAAAGAAAAGAAATTCGATAATGGAATTTGATACATGCGTTTGACCTTAACTGTCGCCTCGCCTTGACCGAGCTATTTTTAAAACTATTGTTTATGTGAACTTGCAACCAATCAAAATCTTTCATGATGCTGATCAACCAATCAGATTTCCCGTCCACCAGATGGACGGGAATCCCACAGTTAATACAGGTTTTGTGTCAGGCCCTACTTACTGTAAAATTAGGGCCTGAACTTCAGGTTAAGGATAAAGGGGCCTGGCCCAAATTTGTGCAACAAGGGGCAACATGCTAGCTAGGGGACGCACAAATTAAGGAAGGGTGCAAATCTTAAATCAAACTGACCCTCCTGCATGAGTTGGACATCCTCCTTAAAGTTGGAGTTGCCTTGAAATTCTATTATGAATCTAACAATTTAGAAAGAAATTTTGGACTTATTTTAAGTAGAAATTATTAGTTATATATTTCTATTTCTTTCAGAATAATCAAGCTGTGTTCATTAATATCCTATTTAATTTATTATTTTACTCGACCAGGGTGCGATAATTCAATATTTTTAGTTGTACCTGACTGGTACGCCAATTGTTGTTGCCGCGTACTTGCACAAACTCAGTACTCAATGTGTACTTAGTCATTAAAATAAGGTTCATAAAGTACAGGTTTTCGAAAAGTACGTCCAGACTACGAAGTAGAATAAGAAGCACAATTGCATATACAAACAATCGACTCCAGCGTTTCTTAGTGTCATCAATCCAATCATGTTTCATGCCAAGGTAAACGGTAAATGAAAACCTTGGGCTTGGAAAGGTCATGTGGTACCAGCAAAAAGTACGTATGCAGATAGCAAGAGTTTCGCGTACCTACGTGGCACGTGGCTGAAAACAAAGAAGTACCAGACGTAATATTGGCGTACCATTATCGCACCCTGTTAGTTTCATTATTTATCGTGAATTTAAGTGTATCTGTGCAAATGTTGTTGTTTAGGAAAGTATGTTGAACGTCTTAGTGGTTCTGACAAGGACATGGAGACATTTCCTTGCCCTACATGTCGCTCAGAGTTTACGCTCAAATCAAACCAAGATGTCGCTGAATTGCCAAGTAATTATTTCATCAAGAATATGCTGAAAATTATGGCGATTGAAAAAAAAGCCAAAGCGTCAGTAGCATGTTCACGCTGCCAAGATCCTGCCATTAATCACTGCGCATCATGTGAAATATTTATGTGTAAGAAATGTTCAGAGTCGCATGACAGTTGGATAGTGATTATGAAATTAAGCCATAACGTGTTATCTGTACAGGAACTGAGCAATCCTAAAAGTCAAGTGAAGATGAGAAACAAGCCGCTTTATTGCATAAAACATAAAGATGAAGTACTCAAATACTATTGCGAAACATGCAAGGAACTTAGCTGTGTAGATTGTGTGATTTTAAATCATCAGAAACAAAACCATTCGTGTGTGGCAGTGAGTGAACTCACACAGAAGCAAAGACAAACATTGCAATCAAGCTGCACAACACTTGGTGAGAAATTAGCTGAAGGAAAGGAAGCGTTAAACAATATTTGTGAGGTCATGAAGTCTCTTGAAAAGAATGCTAAAACTGCTAAAGATCAAATCAAAGAACAAAAGGAAAATATCTTGAAGATTGTGGCAGAAAAACTTGACGAGAGAGCAAAGATAATGAATGAGGAAGTAGACAAGGTTTATGGTGAATTACATAGTGAACTGAGCAAACAACATGATGAAATGAAAGATTATCTTGATAAAGTCCAAGCTTCAGTGTCTTTGCCAAGGAATCTCCTAAAGAGGGGAAGTATTGAAGAAATTCTCTCATCACAAAAATTAATTGATGAGAAAATTGAGAAGTTGAGAAACGAACGGCCGGAGAGTATGGCCGCAGTTAATGATGGTGGTATTCAGTATGTACCTGACGACATTCATAATATCAATGTTGATGAAATTGTTGTTAGATTGGGATATGTAGAAGGTATGTAGAATATAATTGAAACGGTTTATTTAAAAAGTATGTTTGGAACCCAGCAGCTAACTAAATTAACCTGTTAACGACCCACACGTATCCAATACATTCCTTTTACGTAATCTACTTCTTCAAAAACAACCTTTGATATTTTATTGACTTGTGTTTATCTGACTGAGCTGCAACGTTCTCTCGTTAATTCCAATAGTGGATGTAGTGACTGGAATGGGGTGAATGGGTATTTTCGTTTATCGAGTATGAAAAAGTAAAGTAAACATGTTTTAAATCAGTGGCATGCAGAGACTTTCCCCAATAATTTACGGAATGCAATGTGCAACAAAACAGCTACAACGGTTTTTACAACTGTGGAAGCCTTTCTTGGCCAATAATTGAATCATTTTGCATTAGATTTGTAGCAAAATATTGGCAATCTTAATTCGAACCACTACCACAAGTATCCGCCACAGTTTTGACATACTGTATTGTGAAGTGAAGTAGGCCTATATTCATGTGTGCTTTTGCAATCGGGGTCAATTCCTGCAATATGCAGTTTTCGTATTACTTTATGATATTGCTTAAGTCACATGTGAGAGGAAAACTTCCAGTTCAACTCAACTGCAATATTATAAATAAATTGATTAATAGTTCGGCAGATCATCTTAATACAGATCAAAAACAAATAATAATCTTCTCAAGATTTTAACAATTCATGTTTCTATAATGTTGACATGTTCATGCTTTAATCATACTATCCTACTAAGATCTTTTAGAAATTTACCATAATCTTTAAGACGTAGCGCTACCATTATTAGAGATCTTACGATTTTAGGCCGGCAACGCGACGGCGACGGCCAAAACAAACGCCTTCAAATAAATGCAGTAAAGATAGTTCGTGGTATTTTATCAATAGTATGAATTTAATACAGTTTTAGAAGTTGAAGACATGGGTTTTATGGTTGGGAAGAGTTCTGCTAAACCCAGTTTGAAGTTTCACTTGTTGCGGCTTGGAATGCAGCCGTTGTATCTGGAATGTAGCCGTGAAGATATGTGATTTGGCGTTGTAAACAGAGCGACGACAATGTCTAAATTATTCATACTGTATATTGTAATTACTCATTCTTTTCAATGATCTATTGTATTGGTAGCCGTTGCCGCCCTAAAATCGTAAGGTCTCTATTGCGTTGGTGGCGCAGGGATCTTGCATGGAAAGCTTGCTAACTTAGAATGTATTGTTTAGGAGGTGATCCATATGTTTCTAGAAATTTAAGAAAGTCCTCCAGTATTTTGAATGGAGAAGTTGCCTTCATGAAACAACTAGTGAAATGGTTGGGACACAAATGTAAATGGAATCTTTGTTATCGAGGGTCCAGAGATGGTTGCAGTGCCCGCGATTTTCACAGATATTGTGACAATAAAGGACCGACAGTGGTTTTAGCAAAAGCCAATGATTGTATCTTTGGCGGATACACTGACCAAAACTGGGAATCAGGTATGTAAGATCCGATTTAGATATTAATATTTCCATCATTTATGAGAGCTATATATTTGTCCTTGTATTTAAGATTATGTTCGCACAAGACTGGACGAATTCGGCAGCGTACGCAAATTTGTTCAGTTCCATTTGTTTACACTGGAATTCCTAGGGTTAGCTGTGTTTGAATTCGTCCAGTTTCATGTGTCCGACCTGAACGTTTAACGTCCGGCCCCGTGTGCATCAACGTGGGTCGATTGGGTCAAAATCATTTCGATCATATCTAAAAGTAAACATTACAGGAACCATTGAATATTTGACTAAACATTAATTATTTAAAACTATTTTCAATATTAGGACATTATGCTTGGAGACGTTCTAACTCGTCATTTTTATTCTCGCTACGAAACAAAGAAAACCTTGCCCCATTTATTGCCAACATCAAGCAAGGTCAGGAGCCGAACGCAATCTACTGTCACTCTGGTTTTGGACCAGTGTTTGGTGGAGGTCATGATCTGATAATTTGTAGCAATCCTCAAGTTAATAACTCATACGGCGATTTTGGACACACATATCAACTTCCTCCCGGTTATGTTTATGAAAGTGACCAAGCAAAAAACATGCTTGCTGGTCAGTTCAGATTCTTAACGACAGAAATTGAAGTCTTCAACTGAAACCTTCGTTTACTTAGTTTAACGAAAAATAACAGAAGTCATAACATTGATTCCAATCGATCTTAAAGGCAAGCAAGTGTTATTGCAATTCTAGAAAGTATTAAAAATTGAAACTTTTTTATTCTTTTTAAAAGGCTATTTAATAAAGGAAATAGAAAACATATTTTCCGTGTTCTTATACAGTTTATAGAAACACTTGTGAAAATTTGTGAAAAACTCGAAATTGCGTGGAAACACTCACACTTCGTGCTCGTGTTCCCACGCAATTTCTTGTTTTTCACAAAATTCCACTAGTGTTTCTATAACTCTAGGAACACGGAAAATGTTTTCTATTTCTTAAATAACTAAGGAGTTCAGAATTTTTAAAAACTAATCTTAAGTGCTGTTGCTATGGCAACAATAACGTCACAACATAGCGGATATTTTAAAGTAATTTAACTCGAAAGAAAGCTCGGTTACCCAATTTTTTATTTCATAAAATGATTTCATTTAGTATTTTGAATTATTTTCAATTTTTACATTTTCCTATCTTGAAAATTTCGGCATGACAGAATTTTTTTAAATTAGAAAAATAATTCAAAATACCAATAAAAATTACTTTTTTACCGTATGTTAGCACGTAGCCATTCAGCGACGAGCTTATATAATTTAAGCCAATCTTATATAATTTAAGCCAATCAGCGATTATGTTACATCGTGTCCGTCATCTAACCTGTGAACGGGCATGGTGTGGCCTCGTGTTATTCAGAAATTCTCGCCATTTTGGATTTCAAATATTGAATTGCTGTCTTATTTTCTTGCCATATTTCTACTATCAACATGGAAATTTATCCTCATCTTGATCTGGTAAGTAGTCAATCTCTTCGGAGATCAAAACAATCTCTTCGGAGATCGAAACAATCTCTTTGGAGAGCAAAACAATCTCTTCGGAGAGCAAAACAATCTCTTCGGAGAGCAAAAAACAATCTCTTCGGAGAGCAAAACAATCTCTTCGGAGAGCAAATAAACAATCTCTTCGGAGAGCAAATAAACAATCTCTTCGGAGAGCAAATAAACAATCTCTTCGGAGATCAAATAAACAATCTCTTCGGAGAGCAAATAAACAATCTCTTCGGAGATCAGAACAATCTCTTCGAGACCAAAACAATCTCTTCGCAGAACAAGCAAATACATATAACATTGTACATCTATACCGTACTCATAGTAGCTATATTAATAAGTGTATAAATTCGAATCACAGTGCATGTAGTTGCAGATCGACTGTACGGAAATTAACTAAGCAAGCAAATGCTAAACGATCTAGAGACCGTGCCCCTTCCAGATTGTGTTTAAAGAGAATTATATTGGCAATGAAAAAGAGAAAAAATAGATCATTTTTAAAGCATTATTTTGCAAGAAATGTTCCCAAGTCGTCCATTTTGAACAAGATAGCTTGTAATTTTAAGCACTGTTGTTTTCAATTTGTGCAAATACAACATATTTTTATCAATTCATTTGGATATTTTAAGCCATGTGTCAACATAAACATGACTACAGCAAAACAATCATTGTGTAATATGTTCTACAGTCAAAACATAGCAGGCAATATTGCCAATGAACAATATCACATATCTCAAAGGGCACTAATGTTGTCAGGAGATATTGAATTAAATCCTGGTCCTGTTCAAAACAACAGTCCAACTAGGTTGTCATCAAATGTAGTGTTACAACAAAGGTTAAGACGCTTTCAGTTAAGACCATTTGATGTTGGTGGTGATGGTGACGGTTTCTTTCGAGCTGTGTCACATCAAGTATATGCTAACCCTGAACGACACTTTGAAGTTAGAGCGGCTGGTATTGCATATATGAGAGATAATCCTGAGAGATTCATTGAAAGTAATACTGAAATCTCTTGGTTAGAATACCTCAATAATATGTCTATGCAAGGGACATGGGGCGATGCTATGATAATACAAGCTGTGGCTGATCAGCTTGAGTTAAAAATTACTATTGCAGAGACACATGAAAGGTTTTGTGAGTACAGTATAATACAACCTGTATCATCAACACAGCAACTAACTCATGTCTATTTCGGTCATATAGATGAGCATCACTATGTATCAACATTGCCATGTACTTCAATGTCAGGTTTTAGTGAGATATCAACCCAGAGCTCTCAGTCTAAGCAAACAAGAACACAGTATATAAGCAAATACATGAAACAAAAACGAGCTAATGAGACACAGAGCCCTGAGGCTAGGGAAAAGAGAAGAGTTTATGCCAAGGAATATAGGAAACGTAAACAGGCCAGTGAGAGTTCCCAGCCCTCAACACTGAGCATTGAGTCTAAACAAATGAAAAGACTGTACGCAAAGGAATATATGAAGCGTAAACGGGCCAGCGAGAGTTCCCAACCCTCAACACGGAGCATTGAGGCTAAACAAAAGAAAATAATATATGCAAAGCAATATAGGAAACAAAAACAGTAGGAATATATGAAGCGTAAACGGGCCAGCGAGAGTTCCCAACCCTCAACACGGAGCATTGAGGCTAAACAAAAGAAAATAATATATGCAAAGCAATATAGGAAACAAAAACAGTACAGTGAGAGTTCCCAGCCCTCAACACTGGGCATTGAGGCTAAGCAAAAGAAAAGACTGTATGCAAAGCAATATAGGAAACAAAAATATTGTATTGTGAGATTGAACCGCTACAAAGTTTAATATCCAAATTTCATGATATTGTCTCACAAGGTCCTCTTTATATTTGCACTTGTTGTGACCAATTATGGTACAAGCATAGTGTCATTCCAGTCACAACACTTAAAGAAAATAATCCTGATGTTCAAAAAAGATTATTAATTAGAAAAAGTGTTAATAATATGGAGTGGTTGTGTAAAACCTGTAATAAGTATTGAAAAACAATAAGGTGCCTCCTTGTGCTGCCGTAAATGGGCTGCAGTTTCCGCAAAAACCTTCGTTTTTTTTTATCTAAATGAATTAGAGTGCAGATTGCTTGCTCCAAGACTTGAATTTCAAAAATTAATGCAGGATCCTAGAGGTAGACAACTAAAAATCAATGGAAACATTGTTAATGTTCCAGCACATGTTGTTAATACTGTTAACATGTTGCCAAGGTTTCCAAATGAGACCAGCACAATTAAAGTTAACCTTAAGAGAAGATTGCAATACAAAAGTTCAGCTTTATCACCAAATGTCAGACCAAATAAAGTAGCAGAAGCTGCCAAATGGCTTGTAAATAATGGTAATCTCTTTAAAGATGAAGGTATAACTTTCAATGACACTTGGCTTGAAGATAATTCAAATACTCAAATGGTATTTGATGATACTGACAATGATCAACTTCAGAGGGTTCAGAAAGTTTTGTAGACTGTAATGCAGAAAGCTTGAATTGTGATACTGAATGTAAAACCCAGCAATCATCTGCATGTGATGATGATGAACACTGGAGTGAAGACGAGGCAGAAATACCTGCTGGAATCACTGACACTATGTTAACATCTCCAGAATTTGTCACTGATAATGAACGTCAGCATATTTTAAATGTTGCACCTGGTGAGGGAAATAGGCCTATGAGTATATTTAGAGATAAATACTCAGGGGAATTAGCATATCCGGGTATATTTCTTTTACAGAAGCGACCAGACAATACAAATAGACCAACCAAAGTCCATTATAGTGAAATTTGTAAATCTGAGTTAAGAAGGTCTGACCGAAGGGCTGCAATGTAAAACAAAGAAATTGCAAATGAAGATTTTGCTTGGGCAATCACAAGTTGCATTGAGAAAATGTCAACGAAATAGTAACACAATCACTGCCGGTCAATTAAAACAACTGGGTGCATTAGATAACATGATTCATCAGGATAAAGGATTTAAATTTCTTAGAGCTGTGAGGGGTTCAACTCCATATTTTCAAAAAGCTACAAAGGATATATTTGCAATGATCAGGCAATTAGGATCTGCTTCATTATTTTGTAGTTTTTCTTCAGCGGAAACCCAATGGATTCATTTGCTGAGAATACTTGGTAAACTCGTTGATAACAAAACATACACTGATACTGAACTTGAGAACCTCAATTGGGAAGAGAAAAGTAGGTTAATTCAGAGCGATCCTGTGACATGTGCCAGGCATTTTGATTATCAAGTACACAAGTTTTTGCAAAACTTTCTTTTAAGTAATGCTGCACCTCTAGGAAAAATTGCAGACTGGTTCTATAGGGTTGAATATCAACAAAGAGGATCACCTCATATTCACATGTTAATATGGCTAGAAAATGCTCCTACATTCAGGGAATATTCTGATCGTGATGTTGTTTCATTCATTGATACGATAATCACATGTGAAAAGCCAACCGAGAATCCAGATTTACTTGCACTTGTAAACAGGCAAGTTCATCGCCATTCTCACACTTGTCGAAAGAAATCCAAAAGTGTGTGTCGTTTAAATAACCCACAGCCACCTATGAGGTCAACCAAAATTCTATATCCATTAGATATTGATATGGATGATAATGAAGTTGATCAACATAAAGATACTTGGAAATTTATAAAGAAACATCTGAATGATATGAAAGAGGGTGAGGACATTACATTTGACCAGCTGCTTGTAAATCTTAAACTGACAGAACAAAACTATTTGCTAGCTGTTCAATCTAGTCTCAAGACACCAACTATATTCTTAAAAAGGAAACCGAACGAACTAAGGATCAATAATTATAATGCTGTATGTCTCAGTGCATGGCGTGCAAATATGGATATTCAGTTTGTACTAGATGTATATGCATGTGCAATATACATTGTATCATATATATCCAAGGCTCAAAAAGGCATGAGTGAGCTATTGAGAACAGTTTGTGAAGAAGCAAAAAGGGGAAACTCAACAAGTGAGAGATATTGGAAATAGGTTTTAATATACATTGTATCATATATATCCAAGGCTCAAAAAGGCATGAGTGAGCTATTGAGAACAGTTTGTGAAGAAGCAAAAAGGGGAACCTACAACAAGTGAGAGATATTGGAAATAGGTTTTAAACAACAAGTGAGAGATATTGGAAATAGGTTTTTGAATAATGTTGAAATAAGTGCACAAGAAGCAGGAACAATGTTGAAATAAGTGCACAAGAAGCAGTCTATACAGTACTTCAACTTCCAATGAGGAAATCTTCTCGTCAAGTAGTATTTATAAATACTTCACCTCCTGAGGATAGAGTTCAGTTACTAAAACCATTGCAAGAAATTAATGATTTGGAAGATGATTTTGATGAAATTTATGCATCTGGTCTAATAAAGCGTTACACAAAACGACCATCCAAACTTGAAAATGTGTCCCTTGCAGATTGGGCTGCATGGTACGACTCCACTGATAAGCCATATATCAAACCATCTCGTGAATTAGATATTGATAATTATTCACATGAGACAAACTTGAGTGATAATGATGATAATAATGAGGAAGAAGAAAGCGAACAAAAGAAGGAAGTTGATTCTGAAAAGCATTACCGTGAACTAATCATGTTATTCACTTCATGGAGGGATGAAATAACTGATTTATTAGGAAATTGTGCTTCTTACCAAGAACACTATTTTCAAGTTAAAAATACAGTAGATGAGCAAATGAAATGTTATGCTATGAGTAGTGATCATGAAGATCTGAATGCGATTCAAGACCAGCTTAATAATGTGGAAGATAATGATGAAAACTATGACCTGATTGCCCCAGGAACACAAAACATTGAGCGTCAAGATGAAAATGAAGGTGCACAAGACCTTCATCCAGAATTCAATGAAACCTATGACCTATCTGGTGATCTTGGAATTCCTTCAGCTGCATCTAATACTGAGCAGCTGATGTTGCATGAAGAACAGGATGATGTTTACAGAGGAATCGTACAAAAATTAAACAGAGAACAAAAAGAATTTTTCTTCCATGTTTTACATCTTATTAAAACTTCTGACAATCCATTCTACTGTTTTCTTAGTGGAGGAGCAGGAGTTGGCAAGTCACATCTTACTAAGTGTCTTTATCAAGCAGCATTAAAGTATTATAATACTAGAGCAGGTGATGATTTCCATCAAGTGAAAATATTAATGCTTGCACCTACTGGTAAAGCAGCTTACAATATATCAAAGGTAACACAATACATAGTGCACTTTCAATACCTGCATGTCAATCTTTAAAGAATTACAAACATCTTGATTCAAGCAGGTTAATCACCTTACGGTGTCAACTTGGTGGTTTAAAACTAATATTTTTGGATGAGATCTCAATGGTGAGTAGTGCAATGTTTAATGTTCAAATAAATAATAGACTGAAAGATATTAAAGGAAGTAAAGACGATTTTGGTGGTGTAAGCATGGTTGTTATCGGTGATTTATTTCAGCTGGAACCTGTAATGGACAGGTATATATTTAAAAATCTAGACAATTCAGAATATGCAGTTCTTGCTCCTAATAAATGGCAAGATAACTTCAATATGTTTGAATTGGAAGAAATTATGCGCCAAAGGGAGAGCAAAGTGTTTGCTGAAATATTAAACAGACTTAGGGAAGGAAAACATACTAAGGATGATATTTTGAAACTAAAAGAAAGATTAATAAAAGAAAATAGCATCCAAGATCCCATGGATGTGCCTCACTTGTTCATACAAAATAAGAAGGTAAATGAATTCAATGAAAGAGTGCATAATGCAGCAACTGGTGAAAAGTTTTCAATCAAAGTAATAGACAGTGTTATAGGAGCTAACTCTGCTCAACTTCGAGATAAAATTTTGAGTCAAATACCAGATGATCCCAGGAAAACTAAACAAATTGCTTCAAACCTTCAATTGTCGGTGGGGGAAAGAACTGAGATAGCATTAAATGTACGCACTGATGATGGGATCACTAATGATGCTGGTAATGTTGTTAAAAAGATACAATTAAATCAAATAGATAGACCTTCAGGTATAATATGGGTCCAATTTGACCATTCAGATGTTGATGAGAAGACCAGACATGAAAATATACGTCTTTATGTTCACGGTATTGAGTCCACATGAACTCCAATAAAGCCAATCACAACTCAGTTTGCTGTGGGTAGAAACGAAACTGCACAAGTTGGTAGAAACCAAACTGCACAAGTTGTTCAACACTAGAAGATCAATACCACATATACATTATGTTGGTTTGAGCAGGGTAACAGCAATTGAAGGTTTATTTATCACTGACCTATGTGAAGATAAAATAGCTGTCAATCCTCATGTAGCAGCTGAAATGGAACATTTGAGAAATGAACGTGCACTAAAACTAAGTGTCACTCCTATTTATAAGACAGACCAAGTCTCATTCAAACTGTGCTATCTAAATGCACGGTCATTGCATAAACACATTGATGATATTCTGCATGATTTTAATTTTGCTAATACAGACATCAATATTTTTTCTGAAACTCGATGTATGCGCTCGGATAATGCCAGTATGTATGATATTGATGGTTACACCTTGTTCAGAAATGATGGTCACTCTCTGACTACCAGACCCTTTGGTGGCATGGCAGTGTTTAGCAGAGTTGAATTCTTACCTGGATATCCATGTTGTTATAATATATCAATGGCATTGAAAAAACCATTATGAAAGCAACGATTCTTCCACATGTTACTATAATTGGAATATATCGATCACCCAGAATTCCA